GGATTCACCCACCTCCTGAGTGTCGGCGTAGTAGCTGTTCCAGTCGCTGGTTTCATGCCCTTCCATTTTCACAGTCCCTAACATTATGGAGCCAACCTGCCCGGTGTAACCATCCAGCCCTCTTGCAAGCGAGCGACGGGCAGCAGGAAAAGAGCCCGAAAGCCCGACCTAGCAGGAAGCCAGCTCTCAGGAGGGGCGGGGGGTGCTGAATTCTCCTTTACAACCAGCCAAAAAGGAGGCAGGGAGCGGTGTGGGGCGAGACAGTTGAGAAAGTGAGGAAGTGCCGGCTGGGATGTGAGTGGGCTTGAGCTGATGTGGATCTTACGTCGCAGAAGTACCCACCTCCTCCTCCTCCTCTCCCCATTTGTCCGCCGCACAAAGGCGTTCGCACCTACAAAGCCGGAGATGCACCTGCAAACAAGGCAGTTCCCCTCGCCTGCAACTCCCCCCGGGGCGGCACTTTATTTGCAAAGCGGCGTAATTGGTTTAAGCTTGTGGGGAAAGAAGGAGAGAGAGAGGTGGGAGAGGGGGAGAGAGTAGGAAAGGGGGGGGGGGGGCGGGGCCCACCCAGATGGACAGGACAAATGCTAGGAGGGATCGGTGGAAATGAAATGAGGTAGATAAGGGAAGGGCAGCCCCCTCTGTTTGAAGAGAATGCAAAAGGCCATCCAGCCTTAAACCCCTGAGATTAGGGGCAATATTTACTGAAGTCCAGTAGATGCTCCTTTAACTTGATGGCCGGGACGTGCTCCAAAGTCCCGAGTCCTGCAGTCCACAGGCTCCCCCCGGCTCCCGCCCCTCACTTCAAAACTCGTTACCGCGCAGGTACCTCCCGCAAAGTCCCGAGTCCTGCAGTCCACAGGCTCCCCCCGGCTCCCGCCCCTCACTTCAAAGCTGGTTACCGCGCAGGTACCTCCCGCGGCGCCCCCGCTCCCAGCGCCCTCGGGGCCGGGGGACCGGGGCTCTGCGCTCCGGGCTGCGAGCAGGAGGGCGCGGCTCCGCGCTCCCCAAAGCCCTCCGATCCCCCCTTGGTCTGAGCCTAGCCCTTCAGACGGGTCTGTCGTTCTGTGTAGATGGTGATGATACTTCTTTTCTGGTGCCCTTACGTTTAGAAACCATGTGAGTCACCGCGCTGAGACATAACACTACAGGCACCCAATAAATGCGGACAGAGGCTTGAATGCGGATCCACCGATATTAACCTCCACTTGGCAAACATCAGGTGAGTCACTGGAACCATTTTATATCTTTACTGTGGAAAGCCTCTAGCCCAGAAGGCTCCTTTGGAAGCCTTCTGTGGTGCCACAGGCACCCAGGAGCAGCAATAATAAGTAGCGGGTATCTCATGATCAACTTCTTGCTCTTTAACATGATTTCTCGCAAAGAACAGGGGAGGAGGAATCTACACAGGCTGGTAAAAGGTAAAAAGGGGCAACACCGATAAAACAAATTGACATTGGACAACGCTCTTTATTATTATGGAGGGAATCTCGTAGTCTTTGCAGACGGATCGAACATTTTCTGTTTCTGCTCCTGCTCTGTCCGGCTCTTCGGGCTTATGTCAAGACCACAGACTTTTCCTGGGTTTCTCTGCCCTATCCTTTATGAGTTTGTTCCTACCTAGCTACTGGAACTTTTATCACCTGACAGTAAAAAAAAGGCAAAACCAACCAACCAACCAACCAAACAACAACCCCCAACCCAAATAACTTCCCGGGCAATGGGAATTTGAAGGGGAAATAAAGTTTCTTGGGATTTTGAAAAAGGCTTGTGTATCATACCACACCAACTAAAATACACATCTGGGTCTGAATTTCTGCCGGGCACGTTTATCGTCCAGCAGGATCACAGTTGCTTTCACAGTGATTTGTCCTCGAGTGATCTGCGAAAACGTCACCCTCACAAGCACGATTTTAAAGTTTCTTATACAGAGACCCAGGATACAAATGACGAGATATAGCATATCTCCGCCTCGACAAATACGTTTTAACTTGTTCTCTAAATGCGTTTTCTGTTATCCCTTTCTTTGTTCTTTCCCTCATCGTCCTTCTTTTTTTAAATCTGGCAACAGAATTAAGTCAAATCCTCGAAACAAACAAAACTCTGGAATCAGCAGACGAGAACAAGGGATGAAAATGTGTCTTGAAGGAAATAAAACAGATAAAAGCACCGGATTAAACCCCTACTTTCTCAAATGGTCAAACTACACCCGTGGAAATTGGAACAAAACCCGGTGGAAAATCTGAGAGATATTAAAATTGAGGTCTTCGTGTACGCACCCTCCCCCTTTCCCTAATGGAAGCGGTCTATCCGTCTGAAAATAGAGACCCTTCGGTGGTGGCTTGTTCATTTTAGTCTGGAGGTCTGTTCAGAACCCCCAGAGCAGTACAGCTGCGTGCGACGAGGCTGGGAGGGGTGCAGCGGTCCCAGCGCCCCCGCTGGCGGCGCCTCCCCGCCGGGTGACCTCGGGGCGGTGCTGCCCCGCTTCCCAGAGCCCAACCCCGCGGGAGCAACATCCGCCGCGAGAGCCTTCGGGGGCGATCAGCTGAGCGAGAGAGGGAGGAGAGAGGGGAGCGGGAGCCGGGCCGGGCCGGGCCGGGCCGGGCCGCGGAGGCCGGGGGTTGTGCAAAGTCGCAGCGCCTCCTGTTGTCCGGCTGCGGCTCGGGCTCAGCTCCCTCTTTCCAAGGTTGCTCCCAGAGGTGAGAGCGCAGACGGGCTCCTGTCTGTAATCTTAGAGAGCCTTTCGGCTGGCTGTACAAATCAGCAAGCCCGAGGCAGAGTCAGCCGCTGCTGGAAATTCCCTTCGGCCCGGGTTGCTGTGTTGCAGCCCTGGTGGAGAAAAGCCTTCCTTGCCTGAAGAAGAGGGTCCTGACGGCTCTGCCTACGGCCACAGGAAAAAGAGGGTATTTTGGTAGTTGCCCTTGTCCCGCACTTGAGCCTCTGCGAAAAGCCTGTGTGCGATGCTCCGAGAGTCCAGCGCGATTTGTCCGTACCCTTTGCAGCAGGCTCAGCGGGAAGGGAAAGGACTCTCCTAGGATGGAGGACGCGTGATTGCAGCCAGGAGCTCTCCAGACGCGCTTAGCTGCTTATGCGTTTTCTAGGCTTCAGGGCGGTAGCCCTGGCCCGATTTACGCAGAGCCTTTCCCCAGCTCTCGTTAGAGTAGCGCCAGTTTCTGATCAAGCTGTACGCTGGCTTTTTTTTTTTTTTTTTTTTTTTTTTTTCCCAGGGGGAGCTGTTTGTGCAGCCTGGAGGAAAGCGGAGGCTGAAGTGAGCTGTATTTTCCCCGTCTAAACGGGAGCGAGGTCTCAGCTCCTGGCTCCGCCGGTGCGCGGGGCCGGGGAGGGAAACATAATAACTGACCTAAAAGGTGAGAGTATGTGCGTGTGGTTTGGGTGTGTGTGGAGCGGGGGGAGGACGTCCACGGGAGTCCGTGGTACCAGCGCTGGCAGTGAGAGCTGGGCCCCGCAAAGACCGCTCAGCAAGCGGCCGCTTTTTGGGAAGCGCATCGCTGAGGGGTCCCGGCTGTCAG